CATATATTCACCCAACATAGGTGCGCCAACCTTCGTAAAACAACTTCTAGGAAAACTAAAGAAAGATATTGACTCTAACACCATCATAACTGGGGACTTTAATACCCCATTCACAATCCTAGACAGATCATCAGGACAAAAAATCAGCAATGAGATCTGGAACCTCAATGTGACTCTTGACCAAATGGACTTAATTGATACCCACGGAACACTCCAACCAAAGACCACAGAATACACATTCTACTCATCACTGCATGGAACGTATTTTAAGGTCAACCACATACTTGGCCATAAATCAAGCACAAGCAAATTTAAAAGGACCGAAATTTTACCATGGACCTTCTCGGACCACAGTGGAATAAAAATAAACATTAACACTAACATGTCCCCCCAAAACCCACAAAGACATGGACACTAAACAGCATGATACTAAACAACTCTTGGGTCAATGATGAAATCAAAACAGAGATTAAAAGATACCTGGAAACAAATGAAAATGAAGAAACATCTTACTAAAATCTCTGGGACGCCATGAAAGCTGTAGTAAGAGGGGAATTTATATCCCTACAAACGTACATGAAGAAAATGGAAAGATCACAAATTAACAGCCTAACAAGCCACCTAAGGAAGCTGGAAAAGCAAGACCACAAATCCCAAATTTCAGCAGAAGAATTCAGATCACCAAAATAAAAGCCCAAATCCAGGACATAGAAGACAAAAAGATAATACAAAAAGATAATACAAAAAATCAATGAAGCAAAAAGAGCTGGTTCTTCAAAAGGATAAGCAAGGTCAATGGTCTCCTACTTAGGCTGACCAAGAAAAATAGAGAAAAAACCCAAATAATCACAATCAGAAACACAAAAAGTGAAGTCACATCTGACCCTGAAGAAATAGAAAAGATCTTTAGAGACTACTACGTACACTTGTATGGAAACATACTTGAAAACCTTAAGGAAATGGAGGACTTTCTGTCATCACACAACCTGCCTAGGTTGAAACAAGAAGAAATTGAGACCCTAAATAGACCAATAACAATCAAGGAAATCGACAACGTAATAAGAAAACTACCTACTAACAAAAGCCCTGGTCCAGATGGCTTTCCAGCAGAATTCTAGCCAACATCACATTGATACCCAAGCCAGGTAAAGACCCAACATAGAAAGAGAACTACAGGCCAATATCTTTGATGAACATAGATGCTAAAATTCTCAACAAGATCCTACAAACCGGATTCAACAACACATCTCAAAAATCATCCATCATGACCAAGTAGGCTTCATCCCTGGGACGCAAGGCTGGTTCAACATTCGTAAAACAATAAATGTAATTAAATACATCAACAGATGTCAAAACAAAAACCACATGATTATATCATTAGATGCAGAAAAAGCTTTTGATAAAATCCAGCACCCCTTCTTCATAAAAACCCTCGAACATCTAGGCATACGGGTAACATACCTCAAACTAGTAAAAGCCATCTATGGGAAACCCACAGCCAGCATACTCCTAAATGGACAAAAATTGGAACCATTTCCTCTGAAAACTGAACCAAGACAAGAATGCCCACTCTCACCCCTCCTATTCAACATAGTATTGGAAGTCCTGGCTCAAGCGATCAGAGAAGAGAAGGCAATCAGGGGTATCCAAATAGGAAAAGAGGAAGTCAAGTTATCGCTCTTTGCAGATGAAATCAAAACAGAGATCGAAAACCCAAGATAATCTGTCAAAAACCTCCTTACACTGATAAAGGCCTTTGGCAAAGTCTCAGGATATAAAATAAATGTGCAAAAGACAATCGCATTTCTTCACACCAATAATAAACAAACAGAAACCCAAATAAAAACCACAATTCCATTCACAGTAGCCACACACACACATAAAAATAAAATACCTTGGCATCTTCCTAACCTTAGACGTAAAAGACCTTTACAATGAAAACTACAAAGCACTGCTCAAAGAAGTCAAAGATGACACAAACAAGTGGAAAAATATCCCATGGTCATGGATTGGAAGAATCAACATTTTGAAGGTGTCCCTCTTACCTAAGGCAATGTACAAATTAAATGCAATACCCATCAAATTACCAGCAATTCTTCTCAGACTTAGAAAAAACAACACAGGAATTCATATGGAAAACACAAACTACCAGGAATAGCCAGAACAATCCTCAACAACAAAAAAAAGCAGTTGTTATCACATTACCAGACTTCAAGCTACTATAAATCTACAATCATCAAAACAGCTTGGTATTGGTATAGGAACAGGCCTATAGATCAATGGAATAGAATTTAGATTCCAGAAGCAAAACCTCAATTTCTCAACCAACTCATCTTCGACAAAGTTTCCACCACCTACCACTGGGGAGAGGAGAACCTATTCAGTAAATGGTGCTGGGAAAACTGGTTGACCACATGCAGAAGATTGAAACAGGACCCCTATCTATCCCCATACACAAAAATTAACTCCAAATTGATCAGAGACCTAAATTTAAAACCTCACACCATAAGAACCTAAGAAAATGAAGGACATACCTCATGGAAATCGGAACTGGCATCCATTTGCTGAACAAAACCCGAAACCCACAGATCATGAGAAGATAGACAAGTGGGACCTTGTTAACTGACTAGCTTCTTCAAAGCCAAAGAAACCATCAAGAGAGCAGGGAGACAGCCTACAGACTGGGAAAAAGTATTTGCCAACTCCAGTTCTGACAATGGCTTAACATCTTGGATCTACAAGGAACTCAAAGATGCTGAAAAGAAAAAAACAACCCCATTATAAAATGGGCAAAAGATATGAACAGACACTTCACAAAGGAAGACGTCTGAGCAGCCAACAAACACATGAAGAAATATTCAACCTCACTAATCATCAGGGAGATGCAAATCAAAACCACACTGAGATACCACCTAACTCCAGTCAGAATGGTAGCTATCAGTAACTCAAAAAACAACTGTTGCTGGAGAGGGTGTGGTGAAAAGGGAACACTTCTACACTGTTGGTGAGAGTGTAAACTAGTGCAACCTCTGTGGAAAGCAGTGTGGCGATTCCTAAAAGCTCTAAACATCAACCTCCCATATGACTCTGCAATCCCCCTACTGGGAATATACTCTGAAGAACTCAAATCACTCTGTTAAAAAGATACCTGCACATGAATGTTTATCGCAGCATTGTTCACATTAGCAAGAACCTGGAACCAACCATGCTGTCTATCAAAAGAGGACTGGATTAAAAAATGTGGTACATATACATGCTGGAATACTACGCAGCCATCAAAAAGAACAAAATCATGAATTTCGCAGCAACCTGGATGGAACTAGAGTCTATAATACTGAGTGACCTCTCACAGAAACAAAGAACCGAGTATCACATGTTCTCATTCATATAGTGGACCTTGTACATCCAATGTAATACTATAAGAAAATGACTGACAGTGGTGGGAAACTATGTTGGGGTATAGGAGATGGGATTAACCGTAGTAAATATCTGTCTGGGTACAGGAGTCACCTCTTATCAACAAAGGTGCCTGAACGAAGTATATTTGTATGTCTAACCCTTAACTGTACCCCACAATATTGTAATAAAAATATTGATTAAAAAAAAAGAATCCATTTACCCTTAAGTGGCAAATATTGTCACAAAGCATACTGCTTTGTCCCCCTCAGTCTTTTTCACTGAGTCCTTGGAGAACATGTCAGTCCTATGGTAAAGACAGACCCAGCCAAAGTTAAATTAGTTGTCAAACCTGCTTTTGTTTCTTCCTAAGATGGTTTGCCATTCATGCAATAATTGCTTTCTTTAAATGGAAGAAACAAATCTTAAACCTCTTCAAAATCATGGTGAGGAGTACGTGTTCTTCCTTGGGCTGTGCTGAACTGCAGCACCTTGAATCAAGGTCCTGAAAATCCTGGAATGCTCCTCCCTCCTGGACTTTGGCCTTCCCCAGATCCTGACTTAGGGAGAAGCTACCCATGGAGAGGAAAGGTCTGTGTGTCCATCCATGTCCTCGTTTCTGTTTGCAGGGCCTGGACTTTGCAGGATTCACAGCACACATGTTCGTTGGGATTTGCCTTGTTCTCCTGGTCTCCTTCCCACTACTCAGACTCCTTTACTGGAACAAAAAGCTTTACAACAAGGAGCCAAGTGAGATTGTTGGTGAGTATAAAAACCATCATATAGCTGAAGATTTTGTGACTGTAGTGTTATTTTTTTAAAGAGGAGTTCTTACAAACAGGTGTTATTGCATGCAGAACTTTGGAAGCATCTGTCGACAGGATGCTTCATGCTCAGTATTGGTACTGACCACCCCTGCCTCCTCTATAGGATGTGCTCCCTCCATGAAGTGTGCCTCCTCCCTGAGGTGTGCCTCCTCCCTGGGGGTATGCCTCCTCCATGGCCTGTGCCTCCTCCATGGGGGTGTGCCTTCTCCATGTTGGGTACCTCCTCCATGGGGTGTGTCTTTCAGGATTTTACATTTACCAGCTGTGCTTCTTTAGCTATTTGTAATATGTAATGTGATAAAATGTTGGAGTAAATGGTCATCAGATACAACTCACATATGACATCCTAAAACCACATGTGTACACAACAAATTCTCGACTGTATGGACCATAGTACTCCAATAATATATTTGAGTGTTAAATGGGATTGCACATACAACAGTGCAGTTCATCCCCTGGCAGGCTGTGCTGTTTCAGTCTGGCTCACTTGAGAAATTACTAGTCATCAGGAAGAGGACTTGTGGCAATTTTTTGCTCTGCATATGTCTCGCTTAACATATTTTGTAGATATTTTGCCGAGAACATTACCAATTAGGATACAGTACATGTGGAGCAATAGGTTATTTGGGAAACAGCTTCTTCTTGGTGAGGTACAGACTGAGGATGCCATGCAGATTGTCTGGGTAATGGAGTAGCAGGTGACTGAAGCTTGAGGGACAAAGACCTCTTCTTCTTCAGGAATTTTGGGTGACATGGTTTGCTTGTTTTCTCAGCATTAACAGGGTATGTGTTTATCTTTCTAATTCTCAATCTATGTTATTCCTGGACCTGTGCTTTTTAGGACTTCGAGTTTTCTTTGTCTTTAGTAAGATCACTGAATTCATTTCCCTCTGAACAGCTGAAGATCAAGGCTGGCCTCATGCACTCCAGTTCCTCAGATGGTAACTGTGCAAGGTAGATCTGCCTTCCTTTCAAGTGTGACTTTCTAATCTCGTAGGAAAACATTGTTTTTCATACCTTCTCAAGATTCATCTGTAAAACAAGCTTACTTTTTGGAATATCGAATCACCTCTGCCAGAGAAATGGAATGATAAGCGGAAACTGCTGCTTTGGAGAGTATTCTGATGACCAGGTATACAAAAATGGGAGTTACCATGTGAATATGAATGTGGTGCTTTAAACATAATCAAGCAACAAGAAATTCGTGAATGGCCTTGGGCCTGGTCCCTGGTGAAG